ATGAACCCTCCAAAAAATAGATAAATAAAAGTGTAATTAATGTTAGGCTATACAGCTTAGGATAGAAATTTTTATTGGGGTCCAAAGGAAAAAACTGAAAGTATCCAGAACATTGAACCAGCCATATTTTCAAATTGGCCAGGTATCCTTACACCATCTACTCAAAACTGTCTTTAAGAGACCAGCTGCAGCTATGAAAACCAAATCCTTCTTCAGATGAACTGGAACCTAAACTTCTGTAGACATTCTTAACCAGGTTGTCAGACAGTCCCAGTGAAACACAGCCACCAATCACTGCAGACATAGGCACCCAGTCACGTCCAAAAACACAAATCACCAGAGACCACCACAACACTGTTTTTGAGTGAGTGACTTTTTGTCAGTCTGACATAAACCAGGGATATATGGCAAAAGGGAATTTCAACTTATAAAATGTTTTCTTCAGATTGGACTGCAATATGTCTATGGGAAATATTTTAATAGATGAGGGCCTAGCCCATTGTTAACAGCGCCACTCCTGGGCACGTGGTTCTGGGTTTGTATAAGAAAGTAGGGTAAAGAGGCTGTGAACAGTAAGCCAGTAGGTAGTGCTCCTTCCTGGCCTCTGCTTCAGGTCCTTCCTCCAGGTTTGAGCCCTGAGTTCCTGCCCTGAGTCTGTATGGAGGCCACTCTGTACCATCATTATAAAAGCACTCCACAGAGGTCATACAAGTCATTGACCCCAGGAAATATCTGTAGATATCCATTTTTCATGAATTTTGGAAGAAAACAAGAGAAATGGGTAAATGGGTATTTTCTTCCTTTTTTTTCATAAAAATGAAATGCCTTTTCTTAGCTTTGTTGCCTACAGTGCTGATATCTGGGTAGGACTTTACAAGGTATTGAAAAGACTATTTGCCAAAGTGTCAGGTATTTGTCTACAAATTAATAAATAGTAGATATGTAAGAGGGTTTTTTAATGAATAGAGAAAATGAGTGGGTAGAATATTTTATTCTAATTTGTTGCGTTTCATACTGAGCTGTCTGCTGTGTTTGCTTTGCCATGAGAAGGCAGATCTGGGCTGTCAGCCACTGAACTGATCTGACTAAGGCCCTGCTCTCCAACCTAAGCAAAGGCAGAAAGATGGTAACAATCATTGTTTCTATACATTGGAACAATAAGATGAGATCAGTGGTTGAGATGATCTTACAGAATGTCTTTCTTAGAAATAATTTCTCTTCTGCATGCAGAGAACAACAGAATTATGCCTCACGATCTCAATGCAGGTCCGCTTGACCTTAGCCAAATTTGTTCTGACTGGCATATTCAATGACTTGAAGATTTCCTCATGAACCATGCCAGGTTTCTGTTGTCATTTCTTCATTAAGAATGTTCTCAAAATGCGTTGATCTGCCTTTCCAAATCCTGTTTCCGTGTTCATTCTGGAGGTAAAGACGTTGTGTGCTCTCTGTCCCCCATGCACATTGCTGTAAATCAGGACCTCAGCTCTGACCTCCAAACTCATGCTACAGAAAAAAAAATGTATATACATATATATGTGTGTGTTTAGTTGTCGTAATAGGGATTCACATAGTACATTATCTTTTAGGTTTTATTTCTGAACTCTTTTTTTTAAATAAGATAAATTGAACTTAAGGCTGTCCTATATCAACCTGAGAGTCTATGGAGGAGACATTATCAGCACTGTTTGTTTGCTTAGTCGGTTTTTGCTTTTTGTTTTTTAAGAATAACAAGTTCAGTGATGTAAAAATGAATCAATGGTTAAGATAGTGTACTTCTCATCCAGAGGACTGTAGTTCAGATTTAATAATTAAGTCAGAGGCTCACAGCCACATGTATTTCCAGCTCGAGAATCTGAATTTCCTTCTGTCCTATGCAGGTATCTGCAAACACTTGTGTATAAATACATAATTTTTGAAAATAAAAATGAAGGCATATTTTTAAAAGAATAGCAGTCAACTGCTGATGTGTTGATACATCTGTGACTTTTTAATAAATGTTAATATAATTTTATCATCTCATAAGCATTATCCAAAGGTATACTATAAAAATAATAACAACATATTTTATATAAAAATTCAGATTTCACATGTTGAAAATGATTGGTCTAGTGAGGTGGCTCAGAGGGTAAGAATGTTTGCTACAAAAGTCTGACAAGAGTTTGATCCACAAGATCCTGAATCCTGCAAGTTGTCTTCTGATACACGCACACACACACACACACACACACACACAAATAATAATAATAATAATTTAAAAATTAAATTTAAAACAATATTTATTCTAAAGAATAAGTTGCCCTAGTAACATACATTTGCTCAGTTTTTGGTATCTCAAAGCCAATCAAAATTCTTTGATATTTATGAAGAAAATAGACCAAAACATGACTCAGGCTTTTGAGCAAGGTTTGGGACAAAAGATGCAAGAAATGTGGGAGTGCAATATGTCACAAGAGTGAAATTTGACTGCAGAACATGGAGGAAAGCACAGAACGTGGAGAAGGACTGCCCAGCACAGAAGTCAAGCAGAGAGCCTTCCCACTGCTTCAGAACAGAAGGAAATAATTTTGCTTAGTTTTGTTTTATTTTCTGAGACAGGGTTTCTCTGTATAGCCCTGGCTGTCCTGGAACTCACTCTTTAGAGCCAGCAGGCCTCGAACTCCTGAGTGCTGGGATTAAAGGTGTGCCACCACTGCCCAGCTAACATTTTAAAACTATCTCACAAAAGAGTAACATAGAGACTGTAAAAGGAATTGGAAAACCAATAACAATAAAATATTATAATTAAAAATTAGTAAATGATCTGAATAGGCATACTCAAAAGATGATATACCAGTGATCAACACTATTAAAATATAACCAATATCCCTACCTGAGAATAAAACTCAAAACAACAGTGAGACATAATCCCTTCTCAAAATGGTTAATATCCCATCTCATAATTACCAAATTATGGCAAGGATGTAGAGGGGGATGTACAGGGGAAAATGAACTACAATACACAATAAGAACACAAGTATGTAAAACCATTATGGACTACAGTCAGGAGGATTTTCAAAAACCTAAAAATACAAATACTGCATGAACCAGCTATCAAACAACTGCAGCATATCCAAAGGGAATGAAATCTGTGAATCAGAGATACCTGCACTCTTATTATTGTGGTAGCTTTGTTCCATAACAGCTAAGAAAGATAAGCAATTTAGAATCACTTGACAGATAAGTGGATAAAGAAAATACACAAAATGGAATATTATTTCACCATAAAAAGAACAAAATTGTATTATCTATGCCAATATGCCATAAATAGCTAAATCTATTTATGTTAATTGAACTAAGCCAGATGGTGGAAGGTGGTCGAATGGAGAGAAGCAGAACTAGAAACGTAGCAGGGCACAGTTCCTGACTGCACCTTTGCAGCACACCCTCCATCTTGTCATCTTACTTCAGCTCCCGGTTGCATTTCCACAGCCTGTTCCATCTCTCTCCAGCCAGTTCCTGTCGCATTTGTGTGCTGCAGAGTGTGTGGGGTAGGAAAGGTAGAGCACCTCTTTGGCAGTTTGCATAGATGCATGCTGCAGCTGGGCATAGTTCACTCCCACCCGTGCCTATTTCTCGCAGACATTCTCAAAATTTCTGGTAGAAATAAAAACTATTGATCATAATTCTATTTTCTTTCATGGAGCACACTCTAGGCTACCTAATTTACCACCGTACTCAGAAGTCCTGTACTTTGTTCTTTTTCTCATATCCACAACTGTTCTCCGACTCCCTCAATGATGCCTTCTCTTCTCCACACAGTCCCCACATACACCCTCATAACACATAGATTCCAAGGCCCCCTCTTTCTTCCTTCCCTCCTAGATCTTTTCCTCCCCTCACATAGTCTTTTTCTCTCCTTTAATGTTGCACACATATTTTTGATGTAATATTTTCCTTCATATTTGTCACACTGAATTTTTTTATCCTCTATTTGTTTCTTTTTTTCCAATGCACTAGATTTTTTGCTTTAGTTTTTATTTGGTTTGGCTTTTGGATTCTTGCTGTTCTTATTGTTGTTTAAAGTATGTATACCTTGGAGTATTTTTGTGTTTGATTTTCTACAATTTTGCTAGTAGTACCTAGACATAATTTTAAGTCTGGGTATGATGACATATGCCTTTAATCTCAGCATTAAGAGATAGAGGTAAGAGGGTCTGGCATTTGAAACTAGCTTTGGCTATAAAAGATCCCATGTTAAAGGCAAAAGAAATAAAAAAGGAAAGAGAGAAGAGGGAGGGAGAGAGAGAGAGAAAGAGAGAGAGAGAGAGAGCACTTAGTTAATGACTGACTCAGTGGATATGGGCATTAAAAATGCTAATTTTCTTTCCTGTCCTTTTCCTCTTAGATATGGAATGTTTTGCAGGAATTGCTGAAATCCAGTGTTGGGATCACACTCTTTGTGTGATCAGACGACCCTCACTGAATATACTGTGGGAACACTATGGTTTGAAGACTTCATAGCCTGTCTGACTCTGGATAACACTTGGATTCAACTGCTCTACCATGATTACTCCCTTGAAGGAGACATAAAACTGAAGATTCTGTAAGTTTCTAATTTCTGCTGTTTTGATAGGAGCAGTTCAGACAACAGGAAGACTGCATAAACATCTCCAACTTGCTGGAAGAATTTAAAAGTATGGAAGCCCCACATCTCAAACAAGAGAAACCCAAAATGTATCTATTAGACAACAGCTTGACTGGAACCTAAGTTGTCAGAATTAAGGATTTGTCAAACATTGGAAGGCATGACCTTTCTAAATGGCCTCTGGCTGTGTGGTTGATTCTCATTTGTTCTGCTTCCCATTGTTTCCTGTTATTCACTACCAGGTTGTGGCAGCTTCTGATTGGTGTGTTCTTCACATATAATCCCATGACATGGAACCCTGGAATCAACAGTCTTCCTTTTCTCCTAGTGTTGGAGCTTGATCTTGTTTGTTTCCTGCTCTTCTGCTTTCACCATGAAGCTCCTGGTGCTCCTTGTGTTGCTTGGTGTCTCCACTATCCTGGTCTCTTGCCGTAAGTAAAAATTCTTACTTAATTTAAAATGGGGGCTACAATATATAAGATGTTTACTCCGTGAGGCATGAATTTATGGATGCCTACACACAGCTACTCCCTGTCCTATCTAGTACCTGGTGTTTTAACTGCAATTTTTAAACAATTTTTTATCATTATCATCATTATAATTATTACTAGTGTGTGTGTGTATGTGTACGGTGTTATGTATGTGAGAGTAATAGAGAGAGAGAGAGAGACAGAGAGAGAGAGAGAGACAGAGAGAGAGACAGAGAGAGAGAGACAGAGAGAGGGGGGATGTCAGGGTCTCAAACATGTATCATGGTGCGTGTTAGGAGGTTAAAGACAGATTTCAGGTATCGGTTATCTCCTTCAACTATGTAATTTAACTCATGTCATCCAACTTGTAAGAGAAGGGCTTATATTTACTAAGCAGTCTTACTGGCAACCATGTACATTTTGACATGTGGTAGGTAAGTGACTCCATGGGAATTCCTAATTTAGTCTAGTCTTCTCTCTATTGTATATGTGGCACTCGAGTGCATTGTCAATAAGTTACACTTGAGAAAGTGATTAAAGACTTAATTCAGGGAAGTAAAACTGACTACATATTAGATTTCAAAGGTTTTTCTGTGCATATGCTTCCTTCAAACTGTCTGCTCAAGACCAAGGCTTTACAATTGTGAAAGTTTGTAGTACTGCTCACATTCAACATCCCATTAAATGTTGTTTAAGTTCTTCTGTCTTATTTGCTTCTTTTCTTTCAGAGGACGCAGGCACAGACAGCCCTGGCACTTCTGAAACTGGTGAGCCTAGGTCTAAGTTACCTGAGTCTTTATTACCTTCCTACATTTTCCATTTTCCCTTCACAGACTCATAGAAGCCAATGTCTGAGTTTTGAGAAAATCTTAGTAAATAAAATTGCATTCCTTATTACAAAATTATTTTGAATATAAAGATACAATTTTATTTCTTATACAAAAATAATTAGTCTCCAACTTGGACTTAGAGGAACTCTAGGTATTTATTGTTCTTATGCAGTATGTACAAAGCTATGAGGTCTGATACTGTGATTCAAGTATGATATGTGAGCGCACGGAAAGCCTTTCACAGGTTGAAGGACTGATTATATAGCTCATGTGTAGAAAAGAAATCAACTGCCATTGAAACAGACAACAAATTCCTGAAGGTACATGGGAACATATGCCAGGGTGAGTTGAGGTAGAAGCAAGGGTCTGTACTTTGCATGAGCAATGGCATAGCCATGTTAGTCTCAGAATAATGGTTGTTTCACTTCTTGGAATTGGCACTGGAAGCTATTTCTTGGGAATTTTGGTCAATAGTGTTTGTGACTAGCTTGGTTTTAATTTTTGGGCCCATTCCTGTCACAAAGTCCTTGCTGGTATCTTGAGTCAGTGTTATTGCCCAAGGAAGTTATGAGGCTATGAAAGTTGAAGCAAGAACATATATGGTAAATTGAATATATGACAGAGTTAATGAGTTGAGAATAAGGAATGGACGCACAATCTTGGTTGGGACCAATATCATTCTAAGGAAGAGTCAGTATCTCACCTGGAGCTTTTCCTCCTAATTTCAGCTGCTGCTACAAGTGGTGCAGATGAAACCAGCAACACTGAATCTGGGACAGAAGCTGAAACTGCTGCTGACGAGGAAGATAGCGAGGCCACTGATGCGGCCCCTGAACAAGCCCAGGAAGAAGAAAACAGTGCAGATGAAAATGCTGACGACAAAGTCGCTGAAGAAAAGCCCAAAGAAAGCATCGTTGACAAAGGAAAAAACGGTAAAAAAAAAAAAAAACCATTTAATTTTGTTCTTTATGTGACTCTTAGATTCCTTAGCTTCCCGTGGTCACAGTGAGCTGTACTTTAGGGAAGACGTAGGGATGAGTAAAGAGAAGGAGGACGGGCCTTTGCCTCGTTTTTCTTTTCTAAACTCACCTTGTTGTCTATATAAGTGCCAGAAATTTCAGGTTGACAAGTTTATCAATTTTATCTGTTTGATCAATTTAAACTCAGAAGTTTATCAGTTTTAACTACATCACTCCTGCAGTAGTAGTATTAAGCAGAAAATATTGAAAGGGTAAAATGTCTTGATGTAGCTTGACAGCTGTGCAGAGCTTTTCTTTTTCTTAAATAAAAGTTTTATTTTCTTCGGAGGCTATTATAAAAATAAAAATAGAAAAGGACTTTCATGGATGACTACTCCAGCACAAATCAAGAGATTTCTAGGAATATTTTTCTATTTGGAGTTTTCTCTACCCCTTCAACTTTAAAGAAATAACAATTATTCTATTTTCTATTTATAAAATATGAAAATTCATATTTATAAAATTCAGATATATCATGTGGATCAAATCTCTAGGAAATTATCCTAGAGAATAAACATTGTACAATAAAAGAATGAGGGGCTTCATGTAAGCAGCTTTTCTCTGGGAGAAAGGGTCGTGACAGAGGATGATGTTTGCCCTCAGAGGATGAGGTGCTGAGGAATCTTTCCCAAGAATTTCTTCTCCTTTGTCATGTCGGGGATGTTATTTGACATCTTGATCATTGATATGTGCTGGGTAGATGCTGAGTGAGTGTATGATCATAATTTCCTTATCAGAAGAAACTAGATTGTTTTGCGTACTAATAGAAGAAAAAAAATCCTAATCAACTACTTTTGAACTCTGTAAAACATCCAGCCTAATTGACACCAACCTAGGCTACATATCTAAATATTTAGGATGGGAAATGAAGGTTGGTTGGCTTATTTCTTTTTGACCCAATGACTCACTATGTAGCTCAGACTACCGATGAATTCTTCACCTTTCTGCCTCTAACTCCTGAGGGTTGGGATTCCACATCTGTGAGTTTTACCTTTAAGGGATGAAAATTCCATATTTCTTTTGCTTCTGCTCAACTTAGTAGTGTCAGTAGTCCCTCTTCAGGGGAAAAAAATGAAGTCTCAAAATAACTTTTTATTTTTTTCTCTTTTTACAGTTATCACTAAAATTATTGAAAAAGTGAAAGCTCTTCCTTTCCTGGGATGAGTTTGTATCTTCTGCTATTGATATTTCTTGACTACACTAGAGCATCCTTGATTTGATTTCCTCCAACTGTTTACCCTGAAACTTTCCCTCCCTCATCCCAAACTTTTATTGTCCATCAAATAAATGATAGTTATGAGCAGCACCAAAATGGTTTTGTTTTTCATGTCGGATCCTTATATTTTTTAGGCAATCCATTGGAAACGCCAACTATTTTCTGATACTTCCTTGAGCTCTTTTTAATGATTAGACTTTCTATAATTTTATCTGAAAGATTGTTTTATCTTATTAAATTAGACATAATTATTAGGCATGTTACTAAGGCCTGGGCTTTCCTATACCAAACACTTCCTTGGTTTAAGTGCTCAATTTTATTCTTCCAAATTCTTCTGAATTATTTTTGTTTAGCGAATTAAAGGTGACAGTGATGACCAAAGCTCCTGAATCTGGCTACAGGTCTGACATAGGAAACTAGGCTTTGAAGGTCTGAGGATTGAATCAAGGTAGTAAATGAATTCAGGGGGTAAACCAAACTCATAAAACAATAGCATCAGATGGGGTCCCTCAGTGGCAGTGAGTAAATGAGACAAAATGCCAAGTTTCCTCTACAGTTCTGTTTTGAGCACTAAACAAGTTTAATGTGTGACATCAAGCATCCTTCAATCTCTAGACTACCGAGTGGGCCCTGCTCCACTACTAATCACAGGTTTTGTTTGATAGACTAAGTTTTTTTTTCCAGAAAGGCCCATTAAAATTCCAGATATTAACATTGTTTGTCCTCCCCCAAAGCACTGAATCCACAGAAATGGCCTGTTTCCTTAATAACATCTCCTGCTTCCTGACTCAAGAACAAAGGCTATGTTAACGTCTTCACAAAAAATTCAGTGAGATTTTTACTGGCATGTTACTTCTTTGACTGACTAAAATGATTGAGTCTCCCAGATTTTTTCAGTTATAACTGTCCTCCTGGTAGTCATCATGGCAAGTTTTGAAACAAAACGCATAGTTAGGATGGATGTTTTATGTGACAATAACTTGGTCCCTTACTTGTTTTATTGGCTCGACTAGAATCATATTCATCATTTGTCATGGGATTTCTAGTAGTAGTCTAGGGGATTAATGAGTTCATTTAATGATATGGAAATAAAATTTAAGCCTGGGAAAGACAGAAGACCCAAATACAGAAAAAGAAAGGGTAACATATTTATTGTCAACAGCTCCCATCTGATTGGGAGGGGTCATAAAGCAGGTCTCTAGTAAGCAGAGTCTTGGTTGGGTGTTTCATTGGGTCCTTTAATCATTCCCTATCCTATTGGTCTTGATTTGATACCTGCCCTCATGCTTTCCCACCTTTTTCTTTACAATGTCTTCTGGGAATAAAAACCAAACATCGTATAAAGCCTATCTATCTTCACTGTCCTTGTCTACCAACGTCCATCAACTGAGTCTCTAGATCTGTTTCCCAGAACCCTATGTCTGCAGATTTGAAAACTTTGTCTTTACGTTTGACTTGCTGGTCATAACACATAGGTTAGCCAGATTGTTTAACCACCATAGTGGCATTCGGTTGGTTGATGCTCCTTTAGGACACATTTTTTGATCATTAAAACTTGGGGCTGGAGAGATAGTTCATGAGAGATCATGAACATTTACTGCTCTTGCAGAGAACCTAGGTTTGGTTTCCACTATCCACACAGTGGTTCATAATTCCAGCTCCAACATCCTTTTTGGAACTCCATAGACACACAAATACTTATGCACACATATACATTTGCAGATAAACACTCATACATATAAAATAAAAATATTCTTTTTAACTTATATTTTTAATTTATTAGCTTTTTTTAAAAAAAATACCAATCCAAGTTTGTAGGGCACTGTTTTCCCTGTTCCTCCAGGCCAAAGCACAGGATGAAAGAATTGTTTATGCTAACCAGCTTAGCTTCCCCTGCACATTCTGCCAGCCGGAGGGAATTAGTTCAAAGCCTTGTTTCTGTCATTGCTATGATAATTTCACCTGCTAAGGAAGGTCCTCACAGGTGCCCTAAATCTCCTCTCATCTGTCAGGATTCCCAGCTCGATACCCCCTACATGGAGGCGCCAGGCGGCCAACACCCCTCTTCTCACTCCCAGGTGGGAGGGGGCTGTCGTCCTCTTGCCTCCAAGTATATAAGCCTACGTGTGCTGAATAAAGTTGACATTTACCCTTTGGGCAAATAATTCGGTCTCTCTGTGTGTCGTGTATCTGTTTTCAACTCCTAGGATATTGATCCAGATTTGCGATTCGGTTCGGGAAGCGCACACCCGTATAGAAGAGTAGGTTTCGCAGATAAGCAATGGACACAAGTTCCCACTCCCTCCTCTCCTCCCATATCCTCCCACCCCACCTCCATCTAATCCTCAGAGAGGGTAAGGCACGTTGCTTTGTGGAAGGTTCAAGGCCCTCCCTGCTATATCTAGGCTGGGCAAGGTACACATCCAAAGATCTTAGGATCCCAAAAACCCAGTACATGCAGTAGGGATAAATCCTGGTGCCATTGCTAGTGGCGTCTCAGTTGGTCCCAGCCTTGCAATTGTCAACCACATTCAAAGAGACTAGTTTGGTCCAATGCTTGTTCCTTCCCCGTCTGGCTGGAGATGGTGAGCTCCTTTTAGCTTAGGTAAACTGTTTCAGTGGGTAAACAAACGCACCATACTCTTGACCTCTTTGCTCATATTCTCACCCTTCCACTCTTCGACTGGACTTAGAGAGCTCCAATATGGGACTAGTGCTCCAATATGGGTCTCTATCCCTGTTTCCATCAGTTGCTAGATGAAGGTTGTATGGTGATATTTAAGATAATCATCAGTCTGATTACAGGGCAAGTCAAGATTGGGCCCCCTCTCCTCTATTGCTTAGGGTCTTAGGTGGGATCATCCTTGCAGATTCCTGGGAGTTTTTCTTGACCTAGGATGTATTCCCCCTTTCTCCTTTGTTAAAAATGTAGATCACCTGGGGAGAGGTGTTTGCTAAAGATGGTGTCTAAGTTGCAGATGTTTCCCTAGCCTTGCATCCCCAAGAAAGAGAATACTAATGAGCTTCCACTTTGGTTTACCTGGGGGATAAAAGGTGTTTTGTAGAATAAATGTGGGTATATCTTCAGGAAAGGAGAAGCCTGAAATGTCCTTTCATGATGACCGTGTGAACTGTGTCTGGTTATTTCTTGCGCCTCCATACTGGTCAAGATAGGGAAAAATAGTTTTCTATGTTGGGGCCTATGGTCCCTGACATCCCAACATAGGGACTAGGCTACAACGAGTCAGTTCGTGTAACTGGGATAGGTCCTAGTGCCACTGCCATAGGCCCCCCCAACAGGTCAAGCCACAAAACTGTCACCCACATTCAGAAGGTCTAGTTCGGTCCCATGCAGGTTACCCAGCAGTCCATCCATAGTCCATAAGTTCCAACAACCTTGGGTCAATAGTCTTTGTGGTTTTCTTCATTGTGCTCTTGACCCTCCTTGCTCACATGATCTCTCCTGCTTCTCTTCAACTGAACTCCAGAAGTTCAGCTGAGTACTTGGCTGTGAGTCACTGCATCTGCTTCCACCAGTTCCTGGATGTAGGTTCTATGATGACAGTTAGGGTAGTTATTAATCTGACTAAAGGAGAAGGCCCTTTCAGATACCCTCTCCACTATTGGTAGGAGTCTTAGCTGGGGTCATTCTTGCAGAGTCCTGAAAATTTCTCTAACACTAGGTTTCTCCATATCT